ATACGACATACCTTTCAATATCTAGCACGATGGAAAGGGTATCCGGATGGGAGATGGGTGGTATAAAATTTGTAATAAAAAATGATTTGTTAAGAGTTATCAACACCAGCTTTAGTCAAGCTAAGAGGTCTGCAGATCCCAAGCTTTTGTTTTGGACTTCTTTGTGACTTGCTGCTCATGGGCAATTCTGACTGGATGGCTTTTGGGAAGATTAACTATTATTCCAAATATTAATTTCAAAATGAAGGTTTCTGGAGCCCCAGAGTTTCAGAAATCATATAACATTTTCCAGATTAAATGACTTTTTAACTGACACCATCAGACATTCTTCTGAGCAAGGCATGTGTCAGTAGGCTCTGTGTGCTGAAAGTTTCCTTCATGAAAAAAGCCAATGTTTTTGAGAAAAAATATGTAGGGCTGCCCCAAATGTTCAAAATCTGGTCCTATTTTATCCAGGGTTGGGATTCAAATTTCTTAACAACTGGTTCTGTGGGAGTGGCCTATTTTGTGGGTGTGGCTTGGTCATGTGACTGGGTGGCCATGGCTTGGTGGTCATGTCACATGTGACTGGCAAACCAAATATAAGTGGTCCTCACTTAATGGCCAGTTGCTTAGCAAATGTTCTAATTTACGACTGACCTCCCCAAGAGCTACTTGAACTGTTTTTGGTGTTTTGACAGCCATGCACACGCACGCACACACACTTATGACCAGTTACAACATCCCATACAGTCTTGTGACTGAGGTTTTCTTTATTTTTTGCCAGTTTCCAACAATTCCTTCTGGTTTCTGGTTAAAAATGCCCATTGGGGAAAAATGGACTTGTTTAACAACCATAGTGTTCGCTTAATAACCACAAGGTTCACTTGACTACCATGGTGTTTGCCTAACCCAGGGTCTGCAACTTTAAACATTCAAAGAGCCATTTTTCTATTTTCTTTTAAACAGGTATCTCTGTCTCTTTCTTTCTCCCTCTCTCTTTCTCATCTTTTTCTTTCTCCCTTTTTCTTTCTCTCTCCCTCCCTCCCTCCCTGTATCTTTCCCTCCCTCTTTGTCTCATCTCTCTCTTTCCCTCCGGCTCTTGCCTCTTTCCCTCCCCTCCCTCTTTCTGTGTGTGTGTGTGTGTGTTGTCTCTTTCCCTCCCCCCTCTTTTCAATGTCTCGTCTCTTTCCCCCCCTCCCTCTCTCGCTGTCGCTTTCCCTCCCTCTCTCTCTCTCTGCCTGTTCCTGGGGTGGGGGGGAAGGAATATGTCACTTTTTTGAGTGCTGTTGGAACTTTAAATGGAGGCTAAACAAATAGTTGTAAGTCAAAGACTATCTGTATCTGCTGCTTTAACCTTCCAATTAGCATCTAACTAGATTTCAGCTGCATCTCTGCACCAGGCACAATAGGATAACTTCCTTATTCCCAAAATGCAGGAAAATAACCCAGGCTCACAAGAAGTTGTACTTCTGAGTGTTTTTCAAGCTTAGCAACTTTGACATGTGGACTTCAATTCCCAGAATTCCCCAGGCAGCATGAGACCTGATCATTTGATTACTCCCGTCAGTAACATGAAAGAATTACCAACTTTAAAGATACTGAGTATTGTGTCTCTGTATGAATTGATTTAATAAGATTCCATACTTACCACGGTCCTGTCTCTGCTTGGACAGAACCATCAAGGCACTGCTACTGGATTGCCCCTTGTACCAAGGCTCTGATTTAATACTGCCTCCTCCTCCTCCTCACTAAACGCATGGATTGACCTCAAATGGATGTTACCTATTTTCTACTGGTGGATTAATCTATAAAATGTAATATAAACTGCCCCTTCATCACAAGGACACAGCTTTAAAGAGTAAAGTCCCCCCCACCTTAAATATCTCTTCCAGGATGGCTGTTCCTAGTCCATTAAAATGTTCTAGGGTTAGTGCTGTCTTAAATTTAGAGATAGGTATTTGGTAGTGTAAAGCAGCAGAGAATGACTACTGAAAATCATACCTAGGAAGGCTAGCAAATCTAATTGCCTTTCTACCTGCATAACATAATTTTAAGGCTTAGTATTACCTGTTTATAGCCCATCATAAGCACTACATCCCATGAAAAGCCATAACACAGCAATTTCCAATGAATTAGTCAATTAAATAATGGTAAACTACTTTCTCTCCAGCAATCTGGGCTGAAGCAGAATTAAACCATATCTGCTCCTTTGTTTTCTGAATGGATTTTATAAGAAGGCTTAATTTCACACCCACACACTCCAGCCATTTCCCACTTGATCTACCTCATTTAGAAAGCATGGAGGACATAGTCAGCAACAGAAAAACTAACTCAATGTCTTCCAAATGGGATAGGTGCAGAGGGGGAGGGGTGGGGAGGAAAGAAAGGGATTCTTGCTCCAGCAACTCCAGCAACGTATCTTCAGCCTCATTAGAGGCAAGTGGCCGGGAGGGGAAGGGGTGGGGCCAGCCAGGGGCACGATTTGCTGGTTCTCTGAACTGGGCAGAATCTCAACATCCGGTTCTATATAACCAGTGGGAACTGGTAGAATGCCACCCCTTTAACTGTAATAAATTAGGGAGGCAAATCTCAGATTGGATTAATTTCTTTATGGAATAAAGTTAAACACATACTGCACTTGAGTTTTATTTGTTCATTCAGAATCCTTTATAAATTAGTGAAGCTCTGGTAAGAATATCTAGAGACAGATGCTTTAAGGACCAAAAGGCCAAGTCAGGTTTACAGGTAGTCCTTAACTTGCAACTGTAACAGAGCCTGGAATATCTGACATAAGTCATAACCATCATAAATTGAAGTACCCACATGAACAGTCCCGGTTTTCTGACTTTTTTTTGGTGGCAGTCATTAAGCGAACACTGTGGTTAAGTGTAATTCCTATGTACGTTTTTTGCCAGAAACCGACAAAAAACACCGTAAATTGTGGTCATGTGACCGTGGAATACTGCCACTGGCCGTAAAGGTGAGCTAGCTGCCATGCACCTGAAATATGGTCATGTAACTACAAGGGTGTGTGCAGCCGTTGGAACTCCAGAACTGGGTCGTAAGTAGCTTTTGGGAAGTCTGTCATAACTTGTCATTAAGCAAGGACTTAATGCAGAAATTACATATATTTAGAATCCCCGCATTTTTTCCCTTTTTAATGAAAGGAAAAAAAATCAGACGAAAGCAGAGTTAAAGAAACAAAGAGAAGACTTTTGGTTGTTATCCCTATTCATAATGCCATTAGTCATCAATAGGACAGAACATGCAAAGAACTGATGATACTGGAGCTGTATCTTCCAACAGAGCAAATGGTGTCCAAATGGTTCTTGGGCTGAATCTATATGTAAATAATTGTTCCTTGCCTTTTCTTCCCCTTAATAGCATCTTGTCAGTGGCAGTTGGGATAGGACTTTGTCTTATTTATTTCCTAGTGCAGTGGTGGCTAACCTTTTAGGGCTCCTGTGCCAAAAATTGTGAGTGCTCTTGCACACTCGCACTCACGTGCCAGCACCTAGAAGGCAGTCTGCCCCCCACGTCCCCTATAAATGCGCGCGCAATCCCACCCACTCCCCGCTGCCCCCCCTTACCTACACTGCGCCTCACAGCTGATTTTCAGCCAGTTTGAGGCCTTCTTCGGCCTCCCAAAGGCTTGAGGAAGGCTTCTACAAGCTTTGTAGGCCGAAATCTAGCCCCATTT